TCTGGCTGCGGGTCAAAAACAGGTACCCCAAATGGAACCCCGGTAAATGGAACCAAGGACTAAAACCTGCGGTCCAGTTCCTGGTGCTTTAATTTTGACCCATACCCATCTGACCGACCAAAAAGCCGCCGACCCATCCGAAGGGCATCTCCGGCAGCTGCAGGTCTCTAGCCCGCCGGAAGCTCTCGGCGCCCATGGCGTGCTCCAAGACCCGCTCCCCTCAGCCCGCGGAATGGAGACCCCAAAAACTGGCCGGTCCCGGCGAGGGGGTGGTTGAAACGGAGGCCTCTGGTCGTGTCTCGATGCAAATTCCGGAGAACAAGGTTGGTGGGGTATTTTATGAAATTAAACGCAAAGCCGAGAAGTCGAAAACATGTGTTCGAATATGTGTGTTCTATCAAAAGCGCTGTGTGTGTGTAATGCAAAAAACTGCGGTTTTATTTGAACCACAGTCGCTTACACAATATGTCCCTTTGGTTTCCCTTTAAACTGGCCCAGGGGGAATGCGGTTGCAATCCGCGGGTTTGCGCACATTCGGATCAGCATCTGGGGTCGTTTGGCTGCGGGTCAAACATACCCAAAAATACAGCCTTGCAAGCGGAAACATGGACTAAACCTGCGGTCCAATTCCTGGTGGTTTAATTTTGATGCATACCCATTTCCCACGGAATCATGTTTGAAGAATGGGAAGCAACGTGGGTCTTTGCGGCTGGCGGCTTCACAACTTTCACAACTATTTGGCCTTGGGCGGGCAACAAGCCCGGGGCACAAATCTAGGGGAACAAGTTGCGCCGTGACAGTTGCAGGCCATACAGATTAACCTCAACTACTCTGCCAGTCCGTGTCCATTGATCCCTGAGACTCCGTTTGAGCCATTTGCTGTTTGGGTATCTCCTTCAAAAAAAAAACGGAGGAAGCACCCGCCTGCCCCACCTGGGCATGCAACAAACGGGTTCCTTTCAGATGCGAACAAAAAACACCTTGTCCCTGCAAGCTGAAACCCGTTTCTTACAACCTGCAAAACCCTTTCGAGAAAAAAAAGAGAAAAAAGACACCCCGAGACTCAAAGCTCGCGCTTCGCTGCCATGGCGCGCATCTCTGTGGGCATCCAGGAGATTTGGTCCGACGCCTCTCTGGGTCCGGGCGCCAATGCCACCTGGGGGTCGAGGGCTGGCCCGGACGGATGGGACGTCTTTTGTTCGTAACCACATCTTTGAACATGTTGAAACACCTATTGTCTAAACATCCCCAAGTAGGCTTCCCTTTAAAGGGGGCCATGGATTTGTTGTTTAAACTAATTTTGCCCCACCCTGGTCTTTGTTCAGGGGTATGTCCGTGTGTGTGTGTGTACTGTGCTTCTAGAGGAATGCTTCCCAAGTGGTGCAGACGCTCCCACCTCTTGAAGCCCGGCGAATCACACTTTGCGGCTTGCACCTCAACAAATGATTGGCAAAGTTGGCAAGACGTCTGAAGCCCTTCGAGTACAAAGCCAGCAGTGAGCCCAGGGAGCCATCTGCGCCTGGCTTTCCACCGGGGTGTCAGCCAACCCCAGCGCCACCAGGGAGCCATCCGTGGGCACGGCATCACCCCCTGAAGGTCGGCGCAGACTTGACTGTTGCTTCAACACTGGTGGTGAAGGAAGGGAACTCCAACATCCCATATCTTGATGAGCACTCACTGCTGTATGTCCATGCTCAATTCAAAGCAGACTTGCAGGGCAGGCAATAGATCCCTTCAGCGCAGGCCGCTTCAACTGTCCCAACCAAAGCTATGAAGTCCAGGCCAGTGGAAAAGGAACATTTGCCCACTGAATCTCACATGCTCTTGCCTAATGCCAACTCTGGGGCCAAGCCCCAAACCCCTTTGGGGCCCCTGGCCGCAGAGAGATCGCGCGAAGGTCAGCACGCGCACGGAGCTGCGGAAGTTCACGCAGCCTCCATCGCTGCTTTCAGTTCGCGCAGCGCTTCACTCTCTATGGGTCCAATCTGGGAGATTCAGATCTGAGAAGCTGCCATTCTCTAGATCACTGAAGCTGAGATGTTTTCATTTGCTAGCCCGACGATAGTGCATATTCTGGCTGGTTCTGTTGAGACGAACATACATGGTTAGACTTAGGCACAGTTGTAGAATGTATATTCCATTGTTTGCTTCCCTTTGAGTCACTGGGAAAAAATGCAAAATGTATCCTAAGTCTAACCCAGCATACTCCGTAGATTGATTGAACATGGACAACTCTCCACGCGTCAGCGGCCTGCGCTGCGGCGCAGGCAGCCCAACGCCGCCAGGCGCCGGCGCACCTGAAGCACGGGTTATGTCGGTCTGCTCTGGGCTGGGGAGTGTGCGGCTGGTTTTTACTTCGGGGTGGCTCAAAATCAAACCGGGGACAGTCCTTGTTTCCATTGGCAAGGGCTCCATTTGGGGTGCGTATGTTTGACCCACAGCTACTTCAGGGAGCCCAGACTCTGGAATGCCAATCTCCGAGTGCGACCCCGAAATCAAGCGTAAACCGATCCCGGACCTGGTGCTGTCTGCAGGAAAACCTGCGACTACAGGCTGCAGGCCACGGAAATCAACTGCGGCTGCCGGCATGCGTCATGGGCAACGGAGGACAAAAACGACCAGAGGCAATCTGGCCACTGGGCCACTGGGCCACCGGGCACGTACAAGGAATGTTGGGGCGCTGCGCGGCCTGACAGGTACCCTGAGCTTCTGAATGGTCCTTTGATTTGAGCCGCCTTGGATCCTTATCCGAGCTGAAACACGGAGGCTTCTCCTCATGGAGTTCTGTGTTTTTGTTTGTGTCACGGAGGTTCTCCGTGTCGCCTTGGTCGCTAGATATGTATATATATATATACATATTTTGAAAACAAAAGAAACCAACAAGACTTAGGTGATACGGAGGTCTGACCAAGGAACCACCCGCCTGCTGGGCCGCAGGATCGGCTTGGTGGCAACCTGCCGGTATGCGAGACAAGAGAAGAAAGGGGCATTTTGAGTTGTCCCTGATCGTTTTACCGGGTGTTCTAGGGGTTGATTCCCCATTCTTTCCAATCATCGTTCTGTTCAATAACCAGCTGTTTCCCTGGGTTTCTGAGGGTTTTCTAGAAAGAAAAAACCCTGAAAAGAATGGGGAAGGTACCCCTAGAGGTGTTTCCAAATTTGGCAACTCCAGCTTGGACGTTGCAAACTTGGCAGCAAGCCAAGTACACCTTCCAAGCCTCAGTTCTGCAAAACGGTGTCAACCACCGGAGCTGTACAATCCTGTTGCCTCATGCTTGCCGGTCCTCGCTTGGCGACGGTGCACTGCCGCGCTTCCTGAGGCATCTCGTCTTTCAGGAGATCGAAGCAAAAGATGTGGCGGTGTGTTCATGCAGCCTCCCGTGCCCAGTCCAACGGAAGGGGGATGAAAGCGGGCTTGCCTTGCCCCGATTCCTCCTGCGTTGCCACAGCCTGGCCCAAAAGGCAAGCGAGCTGCGTAGAACTTGGGCCGCCGGGCAGCTTTTTGTGAACTGCCTTCCGGCAGATCAGCCCATGGCCTGACACATGGCCATGGAAAAGAGACATCCGCTTGACCAGTCTTGGTGCTTGGTCGCAATGGGGAGTCTGTCATATGGTTGAATGCATTGCTTGAGGCATTCACCTAACGCTAGAAGCCAAGCAAGAGTGTCCTTCGCCAATTTCGTTGCTTTAACTGACTTAGCAAAACATGCCCCCCCCCCAACAACAACAAAAAACATTCGAACCAAAAGGTGCTTCGAAACCTGTGTGGCCCTGAAAAATGGAAGGTCAGCGTCCGGTTCCCCTGAAAAACCACCGAAACCCGTTCCTTCCACGATCGGGCTGCAAGCCGTGGAAGTCCCCATGGCGCGCGCCTCAGGGTCAAGCACTTGGTACGGTTTTCCAGGGAGCTGAAAGGAAACCTCCATAGATGGGTCCTGATTTCAGAAAACACCCATCATGAATGGGTCTGGGGGATCTATTGGGGAGAGTTGCAATAGTCCTACTGCCACATCTGAGGCAACTGGAGAGTCAGCTCATGATGCTCAATCACGCAAGATTCTGAGACGATACACATGGCACGTGTTCGCTGCAACGCACATCAATTTGAGGTCTGACTTTGCTCTGAGACTGCAGCGCTGCCGCAGGCTGATGCAGCGCACAGCATCCGCTTGAGCAGAATCCAGAAGGCATCAACATATTGCGATCAAGTCTGCCTAGTTGGCCATCTGTGTCTCTCAATTTCAGTGAGTCTGAGATCAGCTTGACCGGCAACAAAGGCCCTCAAGCTTGGCATACGTGTACGACTGAGCCAGGCGATGTCAATTACCCATGAAGTCAGTGAAGCAACTGACTAATCAGTTGAGCAGCGCCCAAAGCCCATTGACTGCTGGATCTACCTATATGGCTGTCGAACACCCTCAATGGCTGGGGAGTTTGGGCGCTCAATTGGAATCCGCGACACAACGCCCAAGTCTTTGCAACTGTACCTGCGACCCATGGTGTGGGTATGGGTCAAAATTAAAGCACCAGGAATTGGACCGCAGGTTTTAGTCCATGTTTCCATTTACCAGAGTTCCATTTTGGGTACCTATTTTTGACCCACAGTGTGGGCCGGATGCTGAGGAATCCACTGATGGGGCCACTGTTGTCAACAGAGTTGATCACTCGGGTATGGGTCAAACTTAGCGGCCACCAGAAAAACCGGACCGCAGATTTGAGTCCCCGTTTCCATATACCAGGGTAACCCATTTTGGGTAAATGGAAACAAGGACTAAAATCCGGTGCTCATACCCTGGTTTCCTGGTTTCCTGGGTGTGGGTTCCATTTGGCGGGTCAAATCCAAATCGTACCCCCAGTGAACGTCCCAATCCCCCTAAAATAGGTTCTAAAATGGGCGGTGAATTCCCCTACCCCAAAAATGGGATCCTATTGGTTTTGACCCACAGCCATTTGGACCACCACACCCACCTCACCCCTCGATTTCGCTCGAAGCTCCCTGCCTTGTTGCGCTCGCAGCCAGCCTCCGTGATACCCTCGGAAAGCTTCTGCTGCGCCTCGGGCAAAAAAAAGAAAGCGAAGGCTGCAGTCAGAGGCAGAACCAGTAAGCAATACTACCATAGGCGTCCTTTTTGGAAAATAGATGATCCTGGTAGATGATTGAACCACCAGGTAAACAGTACCCTCCCACCAGCTAACATGGAAGTGCACAGACCCCTGTAGAAAGACTACTTCCTTTGGAAAGGGCCTTTTTGCACTTCCATGTTAGTTGGTGGGAGAGTAAGCAATATTACAATAATCTTACGCGTACAAGCTGCGCAAGTATCCGGAGAGAAGGAGTGGATACACACACGTGCAACACACATGCGGATTAGTATGCATGCCCGGCATGCCCTACTCCCACAGGCAACAGCATACAACAGCAAAAGCCGAACCCCATTCTTGTTGTAGGCAGGAGGCTCAAATGCCAAATCCACTGAGGCATGTAAACGCAAACATGTTGGGGCGAGGCCAACAACTTGCAAACTGTGAAAAACATAGCTTTGCGTTTTGCTTGGTCTTCCTTGGAGAGGAGGGAAGTGGCACATGCTGGGCTTTTGCTCTCTAGAATGGGCATGTCGCTGTGTGTGTGTGCGTGTCAAACTAGGGGGGCCCCCAGCATGGGTGGCATTGTTTGGGTGCCCCTTTACACGTGTCTGAAACGGGTACCAAGCCACCAACACGCACTGAAATGATGCCCCCCCCATCCACAAACACGGAACCTCACTGGGGTCCGTCCTGGAAGACAACTGAGTCTCACTCAAAGCCCGGTATTAAAATGGTTGACCCAGCATAAAGGCAGAATTCCGCAACTATTTATGGCTGGGATTGTCCCTTAACCTTCATCAATCCCCGGGTTTTGAGCAAGTGGCTCAGGCGACTTTCCAGCGACCTTGTAGCTGGATATTCCAATTTCACGGTGTATGATTGTGGCTCAACTGTTGTCCTTAGGGAGCGCCTCCTGGCTCTTCCTGAGCTCCACTTCAGCCTCCCCTTCGCCTATCGGCGTATCGGTTTTAGGGCTTCTGGGACATGCACGTGAGCAACTTGGCAAGCAGATCAGGAAAGTGGGCTTTGCCAGATTAGTTGGATGGATCCGCCCATGCAGACAGGGAAAAGAAGGCCCCTGCAAGCCTCAACTGATCAGGAGCCTCCTCTTTGCCAGCTATGCCTCTCCTAAAAGGAAGCTCCCACATTGATCAGACCGATGGTAACCAGACTACACTAGCTATACAAGGAGTTGCACGCTCCAGCATGAACCGAGATTTCGATATGGCTGTGGGTCAAAAATAGGTACCCAACATGGAACCTTGGTAAATGGAAACATGGACTAAAACCCGCGGTCCTCGAGTGGTTAAATTTTGATCCACACCCATATTGTGTTTCTGCACGGATCTTGTTGCCTGGTTTACATGACGTTCAGCAGCTCAGCAGCTCCCGTACCCCGCTGCCTTCAGCAATCCGCTGCTGCATCTGCTCACAGCTAGTTGCAAGGCCTCGGATGTGGGTGGTTGCCGCGTTAGCTCCTTTTACCATGGATACCAACTGGTTGTGGCAAAGACACCTGTGGCTAGCCAAACGCAAACGTACCAGCATTTCATCAACGCACTGCCTTTGAGAACAAACTCTTGGCTCGAGCTTCTGTGCCTGTCTGGGCAAATCGACGGTATGCTGAGCCATCCGCGCGTGCGCTCGCTGCGGTGGTCTTGGTGCCGAGCGCCAAGAAGAGATGCATTGAAAGTGATGTGAGCTGGCTATGGCCTTGAGGGGCCCTTGGGTGGACAGTGGACATGAAAATCCGGGGATTCCTGTCCGCCCACAAGTTGGTTTCCTATCGGAGCCATGGGCAAACCGAGTTTCGTCGGTCCCCGGCTGGCGTCCGCCTCTTGCAGCTCGCTCCGCAAGGCCTGGCGAAGCTCAGCTTCGGCCGTGGCGTTTGATCTGATCTCGGGGAGACGACTGGCCCCAAGCGGCTCTCCTTGGCTTTTGGCTTTCCAAGCCCAAAATAGGTACCCTACCTCCAAACGTAGCACCCTGTGAAGAGGCACCTGGAGGGTCCATTTCCTCTTCAGGTGCCATGGCAACGTGGGCTGGCGGGCAGCCTCCAACAAAAGGCACTTCAGCTGGCCTTCAGCTTGTCTCTGGCGGAGTCCAGCTGGCCAGGACTGAGAATCGACCGACGACGAGCCCGGGCGAACGAGTGCTGGAGGCATCTTCGGGCTTCGTCGCACGCAAAGGGAGGCCAGATCTTTAGCAACTTGGCAGATCCGTCAGATGGGCAAGTTGCACCCCAGTCGCCTTGAAACAGGCATTTGCAGAGTAGACAGCTGTTGGGATGGGCATGAGTCGACATCTTCGTTCTTGGAATCTCAAGGATCTGCCTATGCGATGGATATGCTCCGCCAAGAGGCCCATGTCCATCTTCATTGATGAGCTTGCCCACGTAGGCCTGGCAGAAAAACGCCATTGATGGATGGATGCCGTGCGATCTAAGCGGTTCCAGGAGGACAACACACGAGCTAGTGAGCTAGTTTGAACAGTGTGAGCCAAAAACTCGAATGATGTTACGCTATGTCAAGCAGCTCATTCTTTCTGGCATCGCTGCTGTGCAACCTCAACTTGAATGCTGGGCAGTTTGCTTTCAGATAGTCACGCAGCATTTTGGGCATAAGCACTACAAATTCCAAAGGCGTACCTGCACCTCTGTAGTGCAAACGACCTCAACCAAACTAAAGTTCACTCCTTTCAGAGCTGGGAGCTGCGAGAGGAATCTCCACATGTTCGCTTCGCTGGATCCTGCTTGCTATACCTTTGAAGATCCCATCCCATGGGCCGTCTGTGTAGCCAGCGGCGAAATCGGCCAACTGCTTTGCAACGGCACAAGCCACCTGATACTCATCCAGCAAGTGAAGATTCTTCATGCCCTCTATCGCCGCATTCATGCCCGAACTCTGCACAGGCACCTTGTGCAGCGTTGCCAAGACAGGATCGCGTGACAGCCCGGGCGCTTGCTTATGTGCGCAAATGTCATTCATGGCCTGGAGCAGAGCTGTATACTTTGACAACATACCCAAGCTGCCGCTGCCCCGCAACATCCTGGATGTGCTGGTTGGCAGATTGATGCACGGAATGAGCAACTTCCGAATAGATATGATCAAACTCGTTGTCGTAGAACTGGCCAATCCGAGGTGCCAAGTCTTCTGCGACACGAACCGCTTTCTCCCTGGCCTGAAAGTACTCCATGGTGTAACGCTGAGTGCCGTCAAGAGCAAGGTGGTTGTAGAGTGCGGTGCCTCTGCTGGGATGTTTGAAGGCGAAGGCAGTCAGCCGGCTTTCAAGGCTTTGCCGGAAACTGTTGATCAGGCGCAACACATCGCGCTGCATGCGCTACTGTTCTTGGGCTGGCAGCCCCAACTGCCCCACCAACACACGAGCAGGACCATGCTCCACAATCTGCAATGACGGCGGCAGTTCTACACTAGCAGTTGGCAAATGTCGGGCTAAAACGTACAGGACAAACATCGCCTTCGATGGTTTCGCCATGACTAAACTATACCTGGCCTACTGGCTCCCTATACTGCAGGAAACGCAACTTCAGCCGAAATGCTGCGCAAGATCATAAACAGATCATATTGCGCATGCTCCAAGCAACGTTCTGCCAGCGGGTCCTTCGTCAGTTCCCCCATCAGAAACGTCAGACTTCGCCGCCACACACACACACACCCACACACACACACACACATCACTTTTCGTCCGGGCCTCCTTTAGAGCCGAGGGCAAGTTGAGATTCACGCTGGCCTTCCTCAGGAAGCGGTGCATTGCCGAAAAATCGTGCTCGATTTGCTTTGCAAGCACTGCTTTCTTAGCAAAGCTCTAGTTGTTGGCTCAGGTTATGCCAGTCCTGCGCTGGAAAATCAAGCCGGACATCTATCCTCTTGGAGGCTCTGGACCGTCTAGACATGTCTAGACCAAATCGTGCGGACAATGTGCTATTGTTTGACAGTCCCTCTCTGTGCAGCCCAGGTTGACTATCATCGACCAGGAGCGACCCTGCCAACTTATCCACAAAACACACAGATTGAATGGTAGGATCGCAGCGGACACATACTCTTGGGGCTGCAGTGATTCGAAAAAAGAACTCAAACAAACATGTGCACACAGTAGAGGGGTCCCAATTCTAACATGCAGCTATAAATTTCAACAAAACCACAAAGAACAACTGCCTCTGTGCACAGAAAAGTTACCTTGGTTGTAGTTGCTGCTGCCTATATCGTACGGCATGGCGCAAACGGTTCCACTGCTTCAGCAGTTTGACGTTAAACTTTTCTAGGATATTCTAGGGCGTATCGCTGAAAGCATAGGACTCTACGCAAGGCAACTAGAACAAAACAACCCTGAAGAACAAAGACAAATAGACAACAGATTGCGAGAACACGGCCGAGCTAGCAAAACATATTCGGTTGAAAGCCGATCTTCTCATGTCAACGTTGGTCCCAGTCATCAAGTTCACGTTGACCTCGACCTTGCCTGCTCCACGGCTCGCAAGCTGCTACACCTCTGGCGCTGGAACTAAAAACAGAACACAGAAAGTAAAATCGTGCTTGCGGGCTCCGCAGAATAGGAGCAAACCATAGAAACAGTGCTGAGAAGATCAGTCACAATTGGCTAGCCCGTGATGAAACATCCGACTTGTCGCCGAACATCTATTCAGTCACCATCTTGCCCCCCCAGTGGAGCATCTGCCGGGCGCTGCGCTGCTTTGCATCTTTCTCTTCAGCCAGGGCAACTGCCTGAAGTGGGCAAAGACTCGGCCGACTTTGGATGAACCACCAAAATTGTGATTGTGTCAGCCTGCTCCTCGGAGACAACCGAGGCTGGCAATAACAGGCCAAGGATTGCTGGAAACATGTTGCAGCCATAGTTGTGGCTTGGTAAAACGCGGCTTTGAGTAGCTCCGGCAAAGGATTGACCATCCGCACCAGCAAAACCAACAGGTTCTCGATTTATTTGTGACCCTGATACCACCGCCAGGCATCTTTTGGCTCCGGGCCTCGGCCAAAAAACGGGCGAAGTCCTCCAGGTGCTTGCTCAACCTGGAAGCTGAATCGGCTTGCACCCTGAAATGGACATAAAGTTCAGCTCAAACACCCACACAGTCAAGCCTTATTGACCTTTTTGGCAGAACATGGCATACATCAACCAAGTTCTGAGGGAAGATTGGGTGAATAAAATGCCACAAGCAAGCTCTCACCCGAGCTCTACCCTAACAAGCTCTATGCGCAACATCCAACAGGAAGAGCCATGTGAGAAATTACCAGACGCAGCCAATTCCCTAATATTGCCCGAGAGCCCACCAGAAAGGTATGGCACGGCAAAATATGATACCCAGCAATGCTTGTTCTCTGGTGACCATGGGTCAAAATCCCGTTGTGAACATCCCAAGTCCCCCATAGACTAAAATGGGTGGTGCACCTACCCCAACATGGGATCCCAAAATGGTTTTGACCCGCCTGGTGGCAATGGGTCTCGCCATTTCGAACACCGATGTCCAGGCCTGCGCGCCGCGCGACCTGGAGCCGCCTGGGAAAATGGACACGGGAAGACGCGGAAACACAAGGACGTGTGGGGGGAAGGGTAAATCGGGTAACCCCAAAAAGGAATCCTGGTAAATGGAAATTTATGGAGGTCCCTGGTGGTTCAACTTTGACCCACACCCTTGTGGGCGGAAGGGTCAAGTCTGGGCTTTGGGGAAGCTGAAAGTCAGCTTCCAACAAATTGGCATGGGTCGAAATTAGTCACCATCAGAATCGAAATTAGTCACCATCAGAAGAACGCAGGTTGACATGTCCTTTCCATTTAAGGCAATCCATTTTGGCGACCTATGTATGACCAGCCGTGCGATCAAACCCAGGAATGCAAAACCAGCGGAAGTGTCGTGTTCTATCAGAACTAGGTACTTTGCGGGACACGCACACACCACAGACACACTGACACACTGACACACAGACACACAGACACACAGACGCGCAGACACGCAGACTCGCAGACACGCAGACACGCAGACACGCAGACACACACACACACACACACACACACACACAGACACGCAGACACGCAGACACGCGGACACACAGACATACAGACACACAGACACACGGACACACAGACATACAGACACACAGGCACACAGACACACAGAGACACAGACACACAGACACGCAGACACACAGACACACAGACACACAGACACACGGACACACAGACATACAGACACACAGGCACACAGACACACAGAGACACAGACACACAGACACGCAGACACGCAGACACGCAGACACGCAGACACACACAGACACACAGACACACACACACACACACAGACACACAGACACACGGACACACAGACACACAGACATACAGACACACAGACACACCACACACACAGACACACGCACGCACGCACGCACGCACGCACGCACGCACGCACGCACGCACGCACGCCCGCACCCGCCGCCCGCCCGGCCCGCCCCCCGCCCGCCCGCCGCCCGCCCCGCCCGCCGCCCGCCGCCCGACGCCCGCCCGCCCGCCGCCCGCCCCGCCCGCCCGCCCGCCGCCCCCGCCCGCACCCACAAACACGCACAGACACAGACACAGACACAGACACAGACACAGACACAGCCACAGACACACACACAGACACAGACACAGACACAGACACAGACACAGACACAGACACAGTCACAGACACAGACACAGACACAGACACACACACACACACACACACACTCACACACACACACACACATGCTTCCCACCTAGGATGCCAAGGATGTGGATGCTGCATTCATCTTTGGCATCGCAATCACCGGGGTGGAAACAAACCAAGCTACGCCTCTCAAGAGGAAAGGCTGTGGGTCTGGTGCCGCCAACCCTCTCCGCCAAAATTGGCTACTCCTACCCCAAGCCCTGCCTGCAAAGGCCCAGGCTTTGCCATGTCGGAGTAAACGCCTTCGCAGGCATCCGCCATCAAGCAAACAAAACACTGCTACAAAAAAGAAGGTAGCAACTGGACAAAGCCCAGAAGCTGTTGGAACTGTTGGAACCAAACCAGTCGGCTTTGGTAATGACCACTTCTTATCCCCCAAACCCAATGAACTTTAAAGCAGCATGCCAACTCCTCTATTCACCTCAGGGAATCCGAACCTCCCCCCGCGAATTGACACATGCAACTCATTTCCGCGCGCCTGCTAGAAAACTTGTTCCATTCCTTTCCTTTACTTTACAACCCTTGCTGTGGTAGCGTTTTTTTGCAGCCTCCCACTAAAGATAAACAGAACCCCCAAAAAAAAACACCACACTAAAAATGAACAGAACCAAAACAAAACGCAAACAACACGCAAACAACAGTAAAGTTGACTAAAACGCCAAGGTTCTTGGCCATGTTAAGGCCATGTTAACCTGATCCGAGCCGGGCCTCGAATGCAGGCAGCTGCCTCCTTGGCGGCGGTCCGCGCAAACCTGAAACGAAACCGGTGGGTTTCAAGCGCGAAACACGGCGCTCCCCGTTGCAAACATGGCTACGGGTCAAAACCCTGTACCCTAGTGAACATCAAAATAGGTGGCAATGGATGTTCATCCACCCCAAAATGGAGCCATAGGTTATGCCCCATGGCCATGTGGCTGTGGGTCAAAAGAAGGGTAACCCCAACATGGACATGGTAAATGAAAGGAGGGCTACAACCTGCGGTGCCCTGGTGGGTTAATTCTGACCCATACCCATGTCGGAATACCTTGATTGAACAAAATGAGAACACGTACATCTAGCCATTGTCAAACGAACAATGGACTGAAACCGGTACAAAGCAACCAGTCGAGACTGGATGTCTCGCCTGAGCACCTGGATTCGTGCGAGCCCGACAGCCGACCAAGAACCCTGCATTTAAGTCGTTGATAGCTTGCCTTATTCGTTTCCAGGCACAGCAAAACTCGCCCCGGGGGGGGTGGGGGGCAGCGCTTGGCAGAGCTCAGCTTGAGCGCGAGACTCGTGACCTGACAGCTGAGGTCCTGACTGCTGTGCTTCCCGGAGGTGCCTCACCCGGAGTCAAGCGGAAGACCCCCAAATGAAGTGCACCGCGAAAGCCCCGGGCCCCGGCCTGTGCCACTCCATCCGCTCCCTCGTCGCTGAGCATTGTTCCTGCATTGACGCTCCAAGGGTACACAGGCTTCCTTGGAACACCTATCCAACCACTTGCTTTGCAATTTATTTAAAAAAAAAATGCTAGTCAGCTACACCTAGTTGTCCCAGCCCAAAAGTACCCCGCTGCTTCTGCAGAGAAGGGGCCGCTGGAACATGGCTCCAGGCCTCCATGGACTGCACCTCGACCTGGAGCTGCCCCAGCTCCTTCCTCAGCGCCTGAGCCGACCGACTCGAGGGTGGGGTGACCCATGCGAAACGGGGGAAATGGCTTCCTTATGTGGATGCGGGGAAAAACACATTCTGATGGTCCTTTGGTGGGTCCACTAGATTTGTCCGCATGGTCCAACAACCTTCAGGCAGTTGTTGGCAACGCTGAAGGGATTGATGACAGTCTTCTGACCACACGTGGCAGTCAGAAAGAAGTGTCAAACGGGGGGTCTCACCAATCAAATGCCTCGGTTTGGCATCCTTCTGGCATCTGCCTCAGCTGCTTGTGCACGGCGGGAAGCGGCTGCAGGACCAGTCTCACCTCCGGAGGTTACAAGGCAAGAAAACGGGACCTGCTGTACGACTGGTTCGACACTGGAGCCCGGAACACCGAAGGGTCGACAAATAACTCAGCTGAATCTAGAAACCGCAGGTCACCCCGTTTGGAGAAGCAACCGGGCCGCATCCACTTTCGACTGGGAATCCCCAGCACTTTGCAGGTGCCAACGGTCTCCCCTCGCTCCCCGCCTAGGAGGCGCTTCTTTTCACCCTGCAGCGCCTGGCAAGGCACTTCAAGGCGCATGGCGCGGAGTGCGATGCCCATCTGGGTGTTTAAAATGCCTTGGACCTGCGCGTGTGGGTTTTTGTTGGGCCGTTGAATATGCGGCCCTGGCTAATTAAGTATTTGCCGCAAATGTCGGTCGGTCCCAAGGCAAGCTGTGGAAAAGGTAGCTTCCACATCGTTGCAATTCAAGGCCCTTTGACGCACACCATTGCAACAGACCTTTTGATCCACATGGATCTGTCTTACAAAGTTTTTCCATTGCCTTCCTCAAGTGCACCATATGAATTGGGTAAACTCTGTTCTCCAGCCCCCAAGGCATGGTTTCTTTGAGCTGGCATGCTGAATCCAAAGGCCACTGGGCAAAACACATGGAATGGGCTGTGTTGTCTCTTTTGGATGAGGAAAACAAGGAAGAGAGAGACTCAAGCCAAAAGTGCAACTCGAGAATAGCACCTGAGTTTGTGCGAAAATAGGAAGGTCCCAAAAAGTGGTGGGTTGCCCTTCAAACCACCATTGCAAGAGGGTGGCCTCAAACGAACACACACACACACACACACACATGTCCATGATCCCATAGTAAGCTGCTTAAGTTTAAACGTTCAGCCCAAAACAAATCGGGGAAGGTGTGTCATAGAGTGACACAAGGGTACCGCACAGATCCCTGAAATAGCAACCTGCTTAATTCAAATTGACCCAAAAGGTCCTAAGGTCAGTTTCCCCCTAATTGGTGGTGTGGATTCGTGCTTTGTTGGTCAAGGGGTTTCCCATTTACCCTCTACTTCTGAACCAGGGATTCAAATCCAAATCTAAACCAAACCAAACCACCAACTAAGACCTGAGTCCTAAGGCTAGCCAAGAAACGACCAGCCCCCCCGAGAACCATCGCTCCTCCAGCTGCTGGGCTGCCTCGGTTGTGCTTTGGGAAGCGCTCCGCGCCGCCTGCGGGAGAAGGTCTCGAGGCTCATAGGTCTCACATCACTTCAAGAAAACTTCG